CCACCCTCCAGCACACACTTCCTAAATCCGCACCAACAGCATACAAAATTATGCACAGGAATGCAAAAAAAGACACACGAGAAGAGTATTCTTTTTTTCAGAAAGTCAGCATTTTAAAAACAGGGACAAGAGCCTTAGCGGTTAAAACTTAGCCAACAAACCCTGGCGCTTGCCTTCCCTGCTAACTGGGAAAACAAACCACTGGCTTTACAATTCCTTTTTACAACTGAGGTTAAGCATCATTTCAGCTTTTTTGTTCATCGTTTTTCCATGTCCAACTTGAATCCTAACTGGAATTCTACAAAAAAAAAAAGCATTATTTAAATTATAGTCATACTAAAAGACAATCAAGGAGTGCCTGATTTCAACCAAATTAACAAAACTGAAAGGGGCCATGTACCAGTCAGACCAAAATGAGCAAGGTACGCAATAATCCCTTCCGGGCCAGCAGCAAGGTACCTGACTTTCTAGAAAACAGAGAATTTGTTTTTGCCAACAGGGTTAGGTGCTCTGCATTCCTGTGGGGATTAAGGAGTAAGTAGGATGTCTCAGAACTCACCTGCAGGGTGGTAAGAACCACTTCCTACCCACCCACAACCTGATGGTCCAAACCACCCACAGTTTGCTCTGTTGCCAGCACCCCTGCAAACCGGGGGTCCAGTGATTCTGCAAGCAACAACAGTCTCAGCTGTCGGGCGCTCTCAGCCATTTGGATGCATGATGAGGGACTAAGAAGTCACGTGTGCACCAGCAAGCAAGGCCGAGATCACTAACACATAAGGAACACTCATCACATTGCCCGACTGCAGCAGTTCTCCATTTTTTCTTGGAACTCATTGCTCCAGTATAAGCCAATTAACCTAACAATCTGGATGGACCGCAAGGGAATTATGCTGAGTGAGACGAGCCAATTTCAGAAAGTCACGTGAGGAATGATCCTACTTACCTAACTCGGGGACCCAAAGCAGAAGCACAGAACAGACCAGGGGGCACTGGGTAGGGGCAGGTGAGGTTGGCCGTAAAGGGGACTTTGGGGGCTAGAACAGCTGTATATTTTTATTGGAGCAAGGGTAACACCAAGGTATTAACACAATGAAACCCCAGAAAGATGCACCCACAAATAAGTGCACTTTCTGTAGGCTGAACAATGTCAATTTCCTGCAGGCGAAAAAATGCTGTAGTTGTGGAAAATGCAGCCAGTGAGAGAGGCGGGCAAAGGGGACCCAGACATATCTTTGTAATTTTCTGTGAATCTGTAATTATTCCAAAAGAGCTATTTTGTGTTACAAGCTAGAACCGAAATCAAACTAAAATTGTCTTTAATGAAAAATGAACATACAGATACCTCTGTAGCCCATACACACAGAGCCCACATGAGCAAAACTCAGTGACCTCTGGAATGATGACCTTTTTGTTCTCCCCCTCCTTCCCACTGCCCCAGTCCACTCTGCAATGCACCCCTTCTGGAACGATGTCTTTTAAAAAGGAACTGTTTGCTATAGAGCCCACAGGCTCAAGAGGCTGGACGGGGACACTCCCCTCTGTTCACCTACAGCAGTGCCTGCAGGCCAACCTGTGAAGCAATGGAGCAATGCGAATACCCAGCGCCCACTTCAGATGCCACAGGGCAGCTCTGGCCCACCTCCCTTCCCACACCCACATGCAGCACAGGGCTCAAAAGGCAGGAAATTCAGAAAGAGCTCAGGAAGGCAAAGGGAGCCATGATTTTACAGCTGAAACTGACATACTTCACCTCAGACTTCATCCCTCACCTCTCAGGGGAGGAACAGGACCCCATGGCTATCAGCGTTGGGTCATGGAGCTAAGTGGTGCTCCAGACCCTGACAACCAGCTCACCTTAGCACGCAGCTCAGAGACGCCTATGGCCTTCCTCACTGAGCAGTGAGCACCATCACCGCTGGCAGAGCAACAAGGCCTCTCCCTGTAGCTGGGCACAGGCTGAGCCAGCTCTGCTGCTGCGCCCCAGGGCCATCTCCAGCCACCAAGGGCCATCTCCAGGCACCGAGGGTCATCTCCGGACACTGAGACGCCTCCCTCCCTGCCTGTCTGCACACCTGGCCTACACAACGCTCTAAGGGGCGCCCTCCAGCGCATCACCTGCTAACTCACCAGGCATGTCTGACATCCCAGGCGAGAGAGGCCAGAAGACGGACACAGCCCCTGCCCTCATGGTGCTCAGAGTCCAGAGGACACCAACCCACATGTGTCAAAGAGCCCCAAAGCTGATACAGTGCCATGGAGGTGCAGCACACACAGTGACAAGAGCCCCAAGAGGTGGTGGAGGGATGCTCCAGGAGGGCACTGCCAGCCACCACATGCTGGCCCCGTGTGCCGGCCACCACATACCTCCCACACACACAACCACTTGTGCACAGAAGGCAGCCCTGCGGGGCCTGCTCCACCCTCACAAGCTGCGTCCCTAAACCACTGCCCCATCACCAGGCAGGCACCTCTCTGAGGGTTTCCCAAGCATGATGTGCTTCTCTAGATCTGGATACATCCCAAATCTGGGAGACAAAGTCTCACCCTCCTTGCCTCTAAGTGCACTCTGGTTGAAATTCCTCCAAGACAGATTTGTTTGTTCTTCTGGCAGTCCATGCTTGCGACAGCCAATACCCTTCACCAACCCAACAACTCAACAGCATTGATTCTTGTCTATATTCCTTCAGAGCAGGGACCACCTTTCTCATTGGCCCGCTCCAGGTTCTCAGTCAGTGACAATCTTTCCCCCCTGGAGGTATCTGCCAACATCCGGAGACATTTTCAGCTGTCACGCTAGGGTTGCAGCTGAACAATGCCTCAAAAGCAAAGGTCCCCAAATGCCAACCATGCTGAGATGGAGGAGGCCTGGCCTATATTCAATTCACACAACTTAGCCAGTACTTCCCAGGTGACAGCACTTCCAGTCAAATGCCACCTGGAACAAACGTTGTGTGTGACATGTAGTAGGAAAAGGACTTCCAGGTTCGCTGTCCTGGCCTGTGCAATGCCACTGCAATGGGAAGACAAAACTTTGGTCAAAGACGTAGGGCGTTCGTGGGTGGCCTAGTGAACAAGCTGGCTACTGCCTGAAAACCTGAAGGTCTAAGTCCATGTAGGGGCATCCTGGAAGAAAAGCCAACTCTTGTAACATGGGGTCACCCACCTTGAGCCGGGTTTAACTTGTGAACCGGCGCCCCAGGGTCCACTCCACAGTGGCATGCGTGCACCTGTGCCCATTTTTGCAAAATGCCTTACAGTTAGGAATATTGTCTTGGAAATTACACCAGGGAGCAAAGGAAAAGGCGGGAACTACTAGAAAGCTGAGTGACTTGATCTGAGGTGTGTTTCCACACCTGCTTCTGCAGGCAGAGGAAGGAATCTGGCCTTCAAAGCTCCCACAACTAGGACCAGCCAGGGCTTCAACCCTAGTCAGAGGCCAGAAGGAAAGAGAAGGGCCAGTATAGGAGCATTCACCAGCAGACAAAGCTCTAAGAATTCCCCACATGGCCATTAAACCCCTTGGCATGAAAACTACAAAGCCAGTACTGGGTGGATAAGCAAGTAAAAACTAAAGCACTGGGCAAGAAATTGGTTTCTTTCCTAAGTAAACAGGACCCTCTAAGGGTCAGGAGGCGCAGCTGCAGACGGTGAAGGGGGAAGCTGCAGCCTTCCTGGGTCCCGGCTCTTCAGGGGTTCATCTTCCACCCTTGCAGGCCAGCTGTGGCGAGTCTGGCTAGGTCACCCCTGTGGAGCTGTCCCCCGAGGCAGCCCACACCCACGCATGCACCGGCTCCCTTGGGGAATGAATCATTTTAAGTGTAGATCTAATCAGGGTGTAATAACAAGCGCCTTAGAGCAACAGGGCACTCGAGCTGTTTTCAGAGGAGATGGGGCTGCCCGAAGGCAAGACGCACCAATTCTGGGGGAAATGTACTAGAAAGGCTGAAAGGCTGGTGACATCACGCTGGGGACAGCCGTCTTGGCCAGAGCTCCGTGGTGGTGCCAAGCTCTCCTGTGGGTGACCACAGAGAGTGGGCGATCACGGGGGATAGATGACCACGGGGGACGGGTGACCACAGGGGACGGGTGACCACAGGAGACAGGTGACCAGAGAGTGGGCGATCACAGGGAGGGGGTGACCACAGGGCATGGATGACCACGGGGGACAGGTGACCACAGAGAGCGGGCGATCACGGGGAGGGGGCGACCACGGGGGATGGATGACCACGGGGGACGGGGAACCGTGGGGACTGACCATGGGGGATGGGGGTCACGGGGAGGGGGTGACCACGGGGGACGGGTGACCACAGAGAGTGGACGATCACGGGGGACAGATGACCAAGGGAGTGGGCGACCACGGGGGACAGGGAACCATAAGGAGGGGGTGACCACGGGGGACGGAGGTCACGGGGAGGGGTGACCACGGGGGACGGGAAGCCGTGGGGATGAGTGACCACGAGGGACGGGGGTCACGGGGAGGAGTGACCACGGGGGACGGGGGTCACGGGGAGGGGGTGACCACGAGGGACGGGGGTCACGGGGAGGAGTGACCACGGGGGACGGGGGTCACGGGGAGGGGGTGACCACGAGGGACGGGGGTCACGGGGAGGAGTGACCACGGGGGACGGGGGTCACGGGGAGGAGTGACCACAGGGGACGGGGGTCACGGGGAGGGGCGCTGGACGTGGTGTGCGCTGAGGCTGCCGCCCGTCAAGCACGACCCCCACCCTGCACTCTAGGCCTGAACCCCCACACTTGGGGCTCCGCCCTAGACGTCGGACTGCACCCCCAGACTCCTGCCCCCTCCGGGCTTGCACCCCAGACACATGCGCGCTCTCGGGCCGCCTGCTCGGCGTCCCCCCAGCTCCGCACCCGCGACCAAGCCCACCAAGGGCGGACTGCAAACCCCGAGCACCCCGCGCACCCCGGAGCCCCAGCCCGCCGGCCAGTCACACCCTCAGGCCCCGCCAGGCCTCGGGGCGCCCCGGGCCACTTACAGTTGCGGATGTCCGAGATGAACACCGCCAGGCCCCGCATCCCGTCCCCCTTCGACACGGCCGGCATCTTCGAGCCCAGGAGGCGGCCGCGACCGGCGGG